TGGTATATATCACAAGTGACTTTAGGCTGGTGATTTTATGTAAAGGATAATTAGGATTTTCTTGCTTTAATGAGAAAAAGGTTTACTTCTCTAATTTAACACGGGCTTATCATCATGAAATAGTAGGAGGTGATGAACCCATAAGTTTAGATAACTCATGTGTGGCTTACTAGTAATTTGATGATAAAACATTATATAATATTGTATAATTATTTGCTAATCATCATCTTAATCTTTATAAAAATTATAATGACAAATTTAAGTCGCTACTATATTTTCTTGAATTTTTTATCACATGGAGTTGAACTTAATTAAATTATTTTTGATAAGTTAAGTGCGAAGGCTTTTACTCTATTGATTAAGCTTAGTGACCGCAACTATATTATAGTTCAGTTTATTAATTACCATATTTAGTTATCCAATAAGCATGATTGCTTATGTGATGATTCATTTGATGAAATCTTATTGCCATTGCGAATTGTAGTTGAGTTGACCTAATTATTTGTGCTTCCAAGTTGATATCTTATAATGTAAGTTTATTTATCTCCCTCGTATCCTTTTTTTAGACATTATTTGGAGAGCTTTGATGTTTAATTTAATAGTTCCTAATATTGTGTGAGAGAATTAGTCCATTCATATTGAGCTTGTTAGATCAATAATCACATAATTAGGTTAACTTCATACTAAACACTATTATATATTTCTCTAGCTACACTTTAGAAATGTTTTTACTTAATTATAATTTGTGAGATTGTGTTATTAAGCGTACCATTGCTTATATCTTGTATATATAGTAGATAAGCCATCAACAAATTTCCAGCATGACACATATCTCAAGGCAACTGTTTCAGTAAAAAAATATTCAAACTCGAATAAAGAATCATCTAGAAATCTGATTTCAACAAACTTATAGTCAAACTGACTGGTTTGACAAAACAAACCCAATTGTACTAACATTGATCCAATCTGAACCAAATCTAGCCCTGGTCAAGCAATCAAACCATGCTTTGAAGTCTTCCGGACATATTTGGAAGGTCAAACAGACGTCGAATCAGCGAGTTCATCGTCAAATGGAACGTCTCAGCAAGAGAAATCTAACGAGCCCAAGTCCATTCAAATACGACATCATTAAGGCACTCAAATGTCCAAACGTCGTCTGATCAAATGAAGATCTATAGATTGTCTGATTAAAGTGGTTCATATTTTTCCATTAATTGCACCCAGAACACTATAAATATAGCTTTTCTCATGGGGGTGGGGGAGAGCTTGAGGCTTGAGAAAGAACTTGAAGCTTTGAGAAAGAGATCAAGTCCAACATCATTCCTGTCATTATCGATTGTAGTCAATTGTCATTGACCCCGCCGACCATTGTCGACCACATCTGCCATAGATCACCACCAATCAATCACTACCGACCACCACCGGCCGCCGCCAAATGTCGTCGACTACCACTACCATCGATCACCGCCGACCGTCATCGACCACTACACGTCGGCCTCCACCTATCTCCATCGGTTGCTGACCACTTCTTACAACAAGTTCATTCATGCACTGACGTTGTAACTCCAAAGAGTGCTCATCCTTTTCCTGCATGTGAGACAAGAGACTGTGCATGCAATGTCCAGTTTATAGTTAATTTCATCAGCTAGACTAAGTCCCGTGATTTTCCCCTTCTTAGGCTTTCCACGTAAAAACCTCCGGTGTCATTACTAGTTATTTTTTCTCTTCTGAGTAAGTGTTGAATCTTCGTACCACGCTAAAACGATAACTTACACACATCAATAGTTTTACTAATTCATTTTATAACTTATGGCATCTAATGTTTTTTGCCTCCTTTATTTTGTATAATTTTATGAGTACTTAGTTTGTATAGTTTCTTTTGTGCACAATTGATAATAAGGATTTTAAGTTAAGAAACATTTTGATAGTGCTTTTTGCGCACCACTTAACACACACAGACATACACCCTAACTTGGTGTGCCTTGAAGCTAGTGAGTAAAAGCCATAGATTTTCTTAACCGTTTAAGTGCTTGATATGATTCTTCATACATCTCAAGATAACCATGACAATTATCAATAAGAAAATCAATGTGATGATTAAATGTCTAATTAGAGGATTATGAGGTATGAGATATAAAGAAGGCTCCTTTCACAATCCTAAGGTGCTTTAGATGGACGAGTGATTGTAATATATTCACACTAATCATATTTTTGAGAACTTCTAATTAAATATAGAATTCTACGTGATGATGTTCATTTTCAATAGTTTAATTATCTAAGTTGTTAATGTATTCCTTTCATTTATTGATGGACATAATGTATTTGTGTTTATGTCATCGATTTATGACCATTATGATCATCATCATTAGAACAATTAGGACCACAAAGGGTTGGATGTAACATTTGAACACATAAAAAATAGAAAATAAGAGAGAACCAACACATAAATTTTGAAAATTTATAAGAATTTAATAGGGAACCAATTGAAGCAGAATTGACAATAATTTTTATGTGTAAATATCCATGAAGCTAAAATAATATAAAAAAGCTCAAGTAAGAATTAATTCGATATATTGAACATCAATCATTATTATGAAAAGGAATCTACATCTATACCAAAACTTCAACCTGCGTGCTAGCCCTTGAACATAATGTTTTTAAAACTAATTAACAAAAGAGGATTACATCTGTCATTAAGCTTTTTCTATAGTTATCTATTTGATATTTAAACTTATTTATTGATTTATGTATTGTTTTAGTGTAAATCATATATTATGCATAGAAATATATAGGGGCATTTTCGTACACGCCACACAATTCATATCAATATGTCAACAGTTAAATTTGTTATTTGACATAAATCTTGAGACGATCGACAATGACCTCGGTGTATTTTTTGGGTAATGAACATTCAAATTCTTATTGAAAAAAATCATCAAGATGTCTGATTACATCAAACATACAATCAAAGTGATCGGCTGGACGAGAGAAGCATAATGGCATCTAAATTAGTCCAATCTGAGTCAAATCAAGCTGGTACTGAGCTATTAAGCTATTTTTGAAAGCTTATATTGCCCAATTTGAATATCAAATGGATTCAAAATTGACAAGCTTATAATCAAATCGGCATTTCTACAAGACAAATCAAATGACAACAAGATAACTCATTTTCGACCTTTAAGACACTCAAATGTCTACGAAATGCCGTCCGATCGAGAAAATCTCTCCGGGTCGTCCGATGGAGCGGTCGAGATTTCTTCCTTACATTTAAGGAGGCTTCTCCCATACTCTATAAAAAAGAACCTTATCCCCTTCATGAAAGGGAAACGAGGACTTGGGTGAAGAGCTAAAGCTAAAGCTGGAGCGCAAGGTGTAGGATTCTAGTGATGTCCTTCACCCAAAACCTCATGAACTTTTCCCGCTTCTGTAGGTTGTCGTCAACTATCACCGGCCTCCCTTGCTCCTTGTAACGAAGCCCTTACAGAGTCACGACATCGCCGTGGAGTAACGAAACGATATTTAGAGTAATGTCTCACCTTGTGGAGTAATGAAGCATCATACGGAGCAACACATCTCAAAGACGATGTGACAATGTACTATGACGTGTAACAACACCCCACAAAGGGTGCAACACGTATCTCGCATATAGTGTAGCAACTTACCCCACATTTGGTGCAACGATGCACCTTGCATATAATATAATTAACATCCCGAAAATGATGTAACAACAAAACCCAAAATAACTGTTTACCACCGTTGTACTCTGGATATGACGTCTTTCTCTGAACTCTTGAAGCTTTCTCCTTGTAGCACAACACTACGACTTACATGGTTCGCATCTCATGCAACTCTCAACTCTGGTCTCTACGACCTATAGACATTATCATAGCTCGTGTATCTCTCAACATCGATTTCTATGGCCTACAAATATTATCATAACACATGCAGCTCCCAACTCCAACTCCTATGACATATGAATGTCATAGCTAATGCGACTCCCAACTCTAGTCTCGACGACCTATAGACACTATTACAACTCCCTACTACGCTCTACGAGGCTCACAGCTCATGCAACTCCAAACTCCAGCTTCTGCGACCTATGGATGCTATTGCAGCTCCTTAATATGGCCTTTTGTGGCCAATCAGTACTTCTGAAGCAACCATTTATGTCTTACAGGACCAACTACTATCATAACTTTCAAATATGACCTCCATGATAAGTTTGCGCTACAACCATCATTTATAGTATTCAGGACGAAATATCGCTTCCATTGCAACACACTACAACATTTGTGGCTCATTAATGCTATTATTGCTAAAATATCATTTTACATCAACTTTTTAGTTTCATCTTCGCTAACTCAAGAGAAGAGTGAGCCCGTATACTGACTTGTTACATATTGGAATATTTCAATTACATTATGCACTGTATTTTTTCATTCGAGAGAGTTTTTCATGTAAAAATTTATATTGAACCCGTGTTAAACTTTCGTGCAACACTATTACACTAAATCATATATCACTTTTCCACCGAGCACACATCACCTATATATTTACATATCCAACACCTACATTTTACTTTTTATATTTAGTATACCTAAATCTTTTATATCAGAGCAAAATTATCACCATTATAACCGCTAAAAAATAAATAAAATACACCGATGTAAAAATTAATGTTTAGACATTAGATAGGTAAATACATAAGAATAGGGTGGTATCTATGTATGATATGATTTTTAAATAACGATAAATTTAAACATAAAGAACACGCTTGCTCTTAGGGTCCGTTTGGGGCAGCTTGTGCGTTTCAGGATAAGCTGCTTATCCTGAAACGCGGCCCGCGGGCCGGCCGCCGGGGTCGGCCCCCGGGGCCTGCGTTTCGTGTAAAAACCCAAACGCAGTTTTGGATAAGCTGGCGAAACGTACGAACCAAACGTAACGCCGCCCGCACTTATAAGCTGCCCCAAACGGTAGAGGGAGTGACACTCGAAGATTGTGCGCTTAGTTCCGAGGCCCTTCCCGCGCTTTTCGTAAACTGTCGCCATGCCGATTGTATCGAAGACTGTGAGGTGAGGGACTAGGGTTTATCAAGACTCAATTCTCTAATTTCTCGTTTCTATGGCTTCGGATTCTTCTTCTCGTCCTTTCAAGCGTCTCCGTAAGAACGATGATCAAGAGGGCACGGAGCAGAGCGCTGAGAAGGCTTGCGAGAGCTCTCCCACTAGCGGGAAAAATCCTCTAGTTGTTTTTGCACATGGCGCCGGGGCTCCATCTACGTCAGAATGGATGATCAGGTTTTTTTTTTAGCTGTGATTTCTGATTTACAGTTTCTGGGAAAAAAAAAAGGAATTGCATTTCATTATCATTGGGCAAGGATAGGAAGCGTAATTTTCCTTCTGTTCATGCTTCGGATTTGGCAAAACCCGGTAATTAGTGTGGTTGATGGATATCTTCGTCCCTTCTCCTACATTGATTGGCATTATTTTAGTGTGAATAGTATTTTGTATCAGTATTTCTGGCTGATTTGGGCTCCATTCTAGGCTTATAAGTTTTGTTTTAGGGCATAACTCCACGGAGTTTAAGTGACAGATAAATCTGTTTTTGCGTCAAATCCCTGTATTTGGAAATGCTAGCGAGACTTAACTGCTCAGTTCTCATCATATGTGTTGTGAGATATGTACTTCCTGACATAGAAATGAGACGAAAAAGAACACAAGCAAACACAGATCGTTTACGTGGTTCGATCCAACTGGATCTACGTCCACGGGAGGGAATCAATCAAATATTTCACTAAGGCAAAAGAAATGGAGAATACATAGCTTATACATAAAGATGAGCCCTCATCTTCCTTCGATGGCCTCCCTCTCAAGCGACACCTTGATACAAGGCCTCAAGATGCTCTCCTCCTCTCTAACTCTATAGCTATTCTCTCCTCCTTTGTGGTAGCTCAAGATATCTTCTCCCTTGCTCTCCTAAGCCTCACACCCTTAAGATTTCTCCCCTTGCTCTCCTAAGCCTCACACCCTCTCTATTTATAGAAGCAAGAGAGTGGTAGGTGGGAGTTAGGTGGGAGGTAGGTAGAGATGTGGTAGGTGGCGGTGCCACATTACAAAATTGCCCTTTTACCTTAGTTCATTAATTGGGGGTCAAAATAACAATTCTCCACCTTGACCCTCAATTGAGAAGCTTCGAAGTAAAGATCCCCTCCACCTGGCCCCTGAGGGGCTCTCAGCCCTTGCTTGAGTCTGCTAGGTCCAAACAGTAC